AAAAAAAAAAAAATTACACGCGGATGAATAGTAAATAAAATTTGATGTTAAGTGAATAATCAATTTAGTATATATTGATAATATTGAGTGTAGTTGAATCGAGTTAAATCGGAGTTAGATTTTGAATATAATTCTAATCAAAAGAGACGACCCGATGTTTTTGGTTAACAATTATTTTCGCTCTTAACTACTCAACAAAAAAAGGGATAGGTTGGTGGGGTTGGGACCCGCTGATGCGTTGGATAGGTGGGTAGTTGGGTTAGAATAAGGTATAATGTCTAATATGCCCTTAATGAGTATACAATTTTAGATTGTTTGTGGGTGTTGGATGTTCAAATTGTATGGCTAAGATGCATTCTTGTTTATTTAATGGAGCATCATTTTTACTTGAACCGAACCATATATATATTATAGAGTTGAGATCAAATCATAAAGGAATATAATGAAAGAAATGAAAATCAATATGGATCATTGGATACATATCAATTCATATTTTGTTCGAAATCACCACCTAACAATAAAGCATTAGAGTCCTTTATGTTCCAATCTTGCGCTGTTGAGTCCCGTTGTAGGTTCCAACCCCGCCGCAATTGTTTGTTATCAAAGTACGTTGCATCACGCTCGTTGTCCCAACCAAGTCGCTGTCGGTCGAACCCTGCGAAGCCGATGCCATCATGTTCAAGTTCCCAATCACGTCAGGCACGATATCCGCCGGCGAAGGCAGCCTCCTTGTGCCTACTCCTGTCGTCGCGTTGATCGTCGTCGTCCACGAAGACCGAGCCCCGTTGCCGCATGTCACGGTCGCCGTATACAGCGAAGGGATCAGCCTCGACGTGTGGGGGTAGATAATTGCCGAAGGGATTCACCTCTGGTATTGTCTCCTCGCCGTCTTTGTCGCCAGGGGGTGGTTGTGGAGTTCTCCACCAGGACACCTCGCCTGGACCACGACCTCCACAAACTCCCCCGCGCACGCCTCGGTACCCGGCGTCATGGTTCGTTGGCACATTTTTAACCATGTTGTTGATCGTAAGACGTAGTTCTTCGATCCCCATCGAAATATCCTCAACCCGAAGATCCAATCGATTGATCTTGCGGTCGAAGCCCGTGGCTGGTTGACTCGGATGCTCAATGGCGGCGTCACGCCCGACGATGTTGTCTATTCGCGGCTACATCTTGAATCGTGCTGACTTCTGATACCAGTTGATATAGGAAAATATACACATAACACACTATTAATGAGATTGCAATCTCAATATAATAACTATATTCCTTTGATTCCAATATTATATTCGCATCACATCGACAACACTTAAAATTTATAATTTCAAATCCAAAACTTTGAGATTTAAAATTATACCTACTTTTCAATTCTTTCATAAAAAACTATATCTAACTAATGAACTACTATATTCAAATTGTATCTCAATAGAAGTTCCGTATTTGTAGTTATTATAGAATTTGAGTGTGTGAAATCTCTCGGGTAATCTATAAATTCAATTCTATATGGAACTCTGATATGAATTCTGAATAATTTATTACTTGAAGAAAATGTAACTTGAACCACTCATCTCCATTAACACACTCCATCATTTTCTTGCATAAAATGTCAGGGGTTATTTTCTTCTCAAAAAAATTGACCCCTCCATCTATCCAACAAATCACACTCCTCATATTTTTTTTTTCTTCTCAATAGGCTTATCACCATTGGGAAAGACTAGAACACGCAGAAAATCAACAGACGACACATGAATACCTCTACCTTTCCCAAGATCAAGCTGGCAACTAACAGG